ATAATCCATGGACTCAACATTAGTCAAAAAGAACTCACATACTTATTGCAAACATCTATTAGTCATTGAATGAAGTACTACGCGCATGCTCCTAGGGGGATAGATTGGTAGGAAAAGACCATCGCTCGTCCCCGACCGCCACTCATGAGGAAGACAATCAATGAATATCTCATGCTCCAAATTTGTTACACAAGGTTCACCATACGTGCATGCTATGGGACTCACAAACCTCAACACAAGTATTTCTCAAATTCACAATTACTCCACTAGCATGACTCTAATATCACCATCTTCATATCTCAAAACAATCATAAAGAATCAAACTTCTCATAGTATTCAATGCACTTCATATGAAAGTTTTTATTATATCCCTCTTGGTTGCCCGTCATATTAGGACTAATTTTATAACCAAAGCAAATTACCATGTTGTTCTAAAAGACTCTCAAAATAATATAAGTGAAGCATGAGAGTTCAACAATTTCTATAAAATAAAAGCCACCGCCCTGCTCTAAAAAGTTATAAGTGAAGCACTAGAGCAATAATGCCTAGCTCAAAAGATATAAGTGAAGCACATAGAGTATTCTAATAAATCATGATTCCTGCGTGTCTCTCCCAAAAGGTGTGTACAACAAGGATGATTGTGTAAACTAAAAAGCAAAGACTCAATTCATACAAGACGCTCCAAGCAAAACGCATATCATGTGGTGAATAAAAATATAGCCTCAAGTAAAGTTACCGATAGACGAAGACGAAAGAGGGGATGCCTTCCGGGGCATCCCCAAGCTTAGACTTTTGGTTGTCCTTGAATATTACCTTGGGGTGCCTTGGGCATCCCCAAGCTTAGGCTCTTGCCACAAGTGTTGATGAAGCCTTTACAACCTGGCCAAGCTCCAAGAACCACTTTCCTCGTGAAAGATTTACTCTATGTGCCCAGGACCGTCTACCGCATATTGACCAAAACCCTCAGTCCGATCAAAGGCCACAACTCTGAAGAAGAAGAAGAAGTTGTTGGCATCATGAAGAATTTGCTATTCAACATCATTCATGGGATTCCCATTAACTATCACGATTTCTTCATGAGGACTTTGGCCAATGTTGCGCTGCCGCCATTTGAATTGAAGCCCTATGCTCCTTGGATTATGAAATTCATCGGAACCAAATCTTCAATTTCATACAAGGTTGACTTTCAAAATCACCTCAGCTTTCTGCCTCCTATTGAAGTCCTCAAAAGGACTATTTCCTCAGTTGATGAAAAAGGCAAAGTTGTTGTTATTAATGAAGGCACTCGTCCATTGGATGGTCAATTTCACAAGGCTGCATCTTACTCCACCAATGATGACTCTGCAACCCAGGACTCTGCCGCTAAAGCCACCAATCAAAATCCTCATGCCATTGCTCCACGTGTGATGGCTGGTCGTGAGCTTCTTCCAAGTCTTCACCAGATAGTCGATCACAATCACAAGTGGGTCAAGCGTCAATTTGGCTCAATTCTTCAGAACATGACTGTCACTCAGAACATTGTGAAGAAAAATCATTACTATGTGCATGAAATCTTCGACCGCACTTGGGTTATACTCTCTCATCTTTATAGTGATGAAGATCTCAAGCAGATGGACTTTCAGCAGAACTTTGACTGGTCACATCCTCCTTCAAAGAAATTCAAGAAGGTCAAAGTTCCTCAGCTGGTCACAAGTTCATATTCTTCATCGCGTGAGACGGATGAAGCTAAGGATCTCGACAACACTGCGGCAGGCGCTACATCAATAAACGACCCCAACATCGCTGGCACTCCTCCACCATCTTCAAGCTGATGTTCTTCAGGGGCGTTAGTCCTTAATTTTTGTCCCTTTTGGTCATTTGATGACAAAGGGGGAGAAATTTGAGTTAGTCTTCAAGCGGGTATCTATATATGGGATGTTTGTCGTTAAGTTGCAACTCTCGTTCTTTTGAAGTGCTTGTTTGATGAGTTGTAAACTTAAGTCCGATGGAGGTCTGACTCCTTGTAACTGCTTTCTGCATGCTTATTTCCTCAAGTTACTTAATGCACGCATACTGAATTTCGTCAGGCACCATTTTTCATCATGCATTTCAAATTCTTCATACTATATGTTAAATGCATGAATGGATTACAAGATATAGGAGGAGATTTCCATGATTTTATCCTAACATGTGCATTTGCAGTCCAAAGCAAATTCCTCAAATATGCACATCTTCACAGGGGGGGGGGTTCTTCTATATCTTGCAATCAACCTCAAAATCGGTATTTATACTTCATATGTTTATCCCCATTGAAAACTTAACCTATTTATCATCAATCACCAAAAAGGGGAGATTGTAAGTGCATCTAGTGCCCCTTAGTGATTTTGGTGTATTGAAGACTTATAGGTTAAGGGACTAAGGTGTTTATGAGTGTACACATGTCGTATAAGTCTCTGAGGAGTTTGATAAATCCGAAGAAAGTCGGCCGCTAAAAATGAATGTCTTCAGATGAAGACTTTGGTTTTCTAGAAGACTATGAAAATCAGAAAATTGGTGTGACCTTAAAGATATTGATACTGATGCGAGGACTATGAAGCGTGAAGACTTTTGTTTTCGTAGTTTCATTTTCCTTTCTTGAGTCATAGGAAACACCGTACTGTTAAAGGGGGTCGAGGTAATACTAAGGAAAAATTTCCAAGTGATGCTCATCTCAAAGGCTACACATGCCCAATCCTTCGAGTGAAGCCTTTGGAAATCTCTTGCAGTTGAGTCAAGTTCTTCAGTGGCAGAGACGAAGTTCTTCTGGTCTCTGAGGAATTTGTTCTAACTGAGGAGTTAGGAATTCGCCAGTGCGAATTGCCTACAGTGAGGAACATGATAGCCCTGAGGAATTTGAGAGCTCAAATTCCGACCGTTGATGTGCTTCGAGCCAGCTATCCAGATATCTTATCCATCCAACGGTCATATCATTAGGAGCATTTATGTCTTATCATGTCGGGCTGCTCCCCGGCTATAAATAGCCGCCCCCCTTCAACCACTAGTTGGTTGGCTGCTCTAAGAGATAGATTGACACTTGTCATTTAGAGCATCCCATCCTCCGAGGACTTTTAGATAAAATCATTAGTGAGGAAAAACCCCAACACCTAAAACCCAAAGTGATTGAGCATCACTGAAGAGATTGTTCTTGTGTGGAACCGACGCTTGTTACCTTTGAAGACTGCATCTTCCAGACGGTTAGGCGTCAAGGTCTAGAGCATCCAAGAGGAATTGTGGATCGCCGGGTGACCTAGTTTGTGAAGGTTTGAAAGTCACCTTGAAGACTTACCACGAGTGATTGGGCGAGATCTGTGTGACCTTAGCTCAAGGAGAATACGGTAAGGACTGTGTGTCCTGAGACTGTGCGTCCTTTGGTTTAAATACCAAACCGCTCCAACAGATGTACGACTGTCACAACAGTTGAAACTGGTCTACCAAATCACTATCTTGACCGAGCTGCTGGTTCTATTTCCTCAACCCTTCCATTTCCTCGCATACTTATTGTTGAACTTGATCGTTACTGTTTGAAGACTCTGACTGAAGACTTTCTCAATTTCCTCAACTCTATTTCTTCAGTCACCTTGTCTTCTGCATGTTTATCCTGTTTACACGCTACCTGTGCTCTATGTATACTTCATTTCATCATGATGATTATGCTACTGCTTTGTTATGCATGCACCTGAGTACTTTATCTGCTGCTTGTATTTCGTCACTTAGCAAATTCCTCAAG